AAAAAAGTCACCTCAAAAAACAAAAAACTATGTGAAACCACAAGACATGCCCAACAGCTGGGAAACAGCTGAACACATTATAGTATGTGACTGTAACAGAACATTACTGTATCATGATGAATGAGGTATTCAGAGAAACATGGGAAAATTCACGTGAAATGCTGAAAAGTAGACCTTCTAGAAGAGCAATACACAGGCAGGCTACCACAATGCAAACAGGAACAACACCAAAAGATAACAAAACTTAGGTCAAAGGCAACAAATAATGTTGGTACTACAGGAATAAAGCTAAAATGCACACTCTTCCTTTCTGTTAAGGACTGGTAAATTATGAAAGACCCAAATGTCATGTACAGTCAATCATAGTCACACTATGAGCTAGTTTTGTTTAATTGTTTTTGGGGCATTTTGGATGTCTATGAGTGAGGGGAGTGGGGGGGGCGGGGCCGACCAAATGCTATGAAATGTTCATAGTAGCACCCAAGTAAAATGATCAATAAAAATTTTTATTTAAAAATAATGGAAATAGCCAAGGTAATTTCCCAGGGGAAAAGGGAAGTTGAGACGTTTGTGCAAGGTCTCTGGATGAGTCAATCACCCTTCAAAAACTTCCCAAAATGGAGGTAAAGATGAGGCAGAGATGAAACAAGAAATCCCACTTCCTTTTGTGACAAAAATAAAAAGAAGCACCACAGAGAATCTTAGAAAAGAGGCAATACGTGTCGTTTTGGATCGTTAGATGCCTCCTGTTTTCTTGCCCGATAGTCCCAATCCAAGGTGGGATGGGAATCAAATGAAATTCAATTTAGTTTTGCAGGGAAAAAAAAGAACATTAGAAGGAGAATTTACAACAGAATATGAGAGAGGAAGGGGGCTTAGAAATGACCTACTCTACTCTCATTATTTTACAAATAGGAAACTGAAGTCTGGGGAGGGGAAGCTCCTTTTTAAGGTCACACAACTTTAATGAAAATATTTAAACTTCTTTCTAGTTAGTTACATGCTAAATTAAGTATTACTTTAAATGTATGAAAAAATCAATGTCAGTACTCTCTCTACCAAGGCTGATCACACAGGTCTCCACACCATAGCTGACTTGTCTTTTTGGAAGAGGACTGTGTTCAAAAAGATACATCACTTGTCAACTCTCAGTGATGAGGCTCTCAAAAGAGTTTAGGTAGGCTGGTCTTTGAATCATTGGTGGAACTAACCTTAAAAACAAACACCCAAATCCCATTTCCCCCCATAACTTCAAGATTCTCAGGGATTTTTGGATTTGTACAGTGCCTTGTGAGGATTAGTAAGGAGTATTTAGCCTATTTATTGTAAGAAGCACTAATAGTATTATCATTATTGTTACTACCAGGATAAATGGTTTTATTAGTGATAATACTACTAATAAAAACAGGTCCTTGTGAAAGGGTGAAGTTTAAACCATTTGTCTGGCTCAGATTCTCTACCTGACTAGGGAGGAGAAAGATTAAGAATTCTGTTTGATTACATTGCCTAAGAGCAAGAACCCTGCTCAGCAAGTTACTAATCTGAATCACTGTATATCAAGCTATGGAGCCCTGGAGTTCCCAGGAATGCCAGGGACTTGAAACTATGTTTCTCCCTTCCTCTGAATGAATCAATAAATGAAAAAGTATTTGCTAAGTATTTACTACGTGCTGAACAATGTGCTCTGTGCTAAGGGATATGAACAGAAGAAAAGACATTCTTTCCTCCCCAGGAGCTCACATTCCAATTGGAGAAGATAATACCTGTGAAACAGTTCAGTTTCAGACAGCAGGGAAAACCCCAGGTGTTCTTAGAATATAGGCCAGATGCAAGTCCCAGGGATCCCTAGGGTGGACTGATAACAGTGTCCAAGGGCCCAGAGGGCACAGTATTAAGTAGATGGTAAAACGTCCAGGAGTTCTACTCACTCGACTGAAATAGTTCTCCAACTTATCAATGACCCGGATGATCATTAGGATGTAATGCAACGGCATATGGTAAGGCTTGTTAGTCCTTTTCTATCTCAATGGAAGGCTTATATATACCCAGCTGAGTATGTTCCTCTTCCTGCCCACTGGCCCATGGGGTCTAATTGGATCAGGAGACAAGGGGCAAACGGAAGGCAAAAGGGAAGTATGCCCTATTGGCAGCTCTTCCCATCAATGATCCCCATTCCTCCTAACCCCCATTCTGGTTCCTAACACTTTCCTCCTTACTGACTTCAATGAAGAACTCTTGCAATCAAATTCCTCTTGTCAATTCACTTATAGTCAGTTTCCTCTCTGTATAATGAAGGGATTGGACAAAATCAAAGAATCATAGATTTAGAGACAGAAGGCACATGAGATATCATCTAGTCCAATCTATGTATTTTTCAGCTCAAAGGCTAGTGACTTGTCCAAAGACACACAGGTAGAAAGGGGCAATCAACCGATCAACAAGCATTTATTAAATACTATATTCCAGGCAATGTGCTAAGCACTAGGAATGCAAACAAAAATTAAAAGCACTTCCTGCCTTCAAAGAGCTTACATTCTAATGGGGAGAAACAATAATAACAATTAATAATAATAGTTAACATTTATAGAGTTCTTTAAATTGATAAAAGATTCTACAAATATTATCTCATTTTATTCTCACCTACTTGGGAGGTAAATATGTAACTATTATTCCCACTTTATAGTCTGTAACTGAGATAGAAGTTAAGTGACTTACCAAGTTTTACGTAGCTAATAAGTGTTTGAGGATATATTTAAATTCAGGACTTTCTGACTCCAACTCCAGCTCTCTATTCATTGTGCCACCTAGTGGCCTGTACATAAATAGGTATATGCAACCTATTCATAGTTATATACAAGATACATTCATCAGAGTAGATAGGAGATAACCTTAGAAGGGAAGCCACTAACAGTTGGATGGGGGCTGGGAATATCTTCCTGTAGAAGGTAACAGATCTGAAATAAGCCACAGATTCTAAGAGGCAGAGGTGAAGAGGGGGAAAAAAACATTTCAGGAACATAGGACAGCCAGTGCAAAGGAACAGAGATGGGAAACAGAGTCATGAGTGAGGACCAGTAATGGACTATTGAGTACATGGAGGGGAGGAAAGTTGGAAAGGTGGGACATGGCCAGGTGGATAAAAACATTACATAACAAACTATGGGGTCTGAATGCAGATCGAAGCATGTTATTTAGTCTCTCTCTTTTTTCTTTCTTCTTTCTTATGGTTTCTCCCATTGGTTCTAATTCTTCTTAACAACACTGAGTAATGTGAAAATAGGTTTAATATGAATGCATATGTAGAGTCTATATCAAACTGCACACCATCTTGGTGGGGGGGAGGAGAGAGATGGGGAGAAAATTTGGAACTCAAAATCTTATGGAAGTGAATGTTGAAAACTAAAAATAAATCAACAAACTTAAGAACTTTAACAAACAGAAGATTTCATATTTGATTGATTATTAGAGGTAACAGAACATTTATTAAGTATCTCCCACTTGCCTTGCTAAGTACTCTGCTAAGCATGAGGCTACAAACAGAAAAAACAAAAAACAAGTCAGTCTCTGTTCTCAAGAAGTTCATACTCTGACTCGGGGAGACAACACCTAAAAATCAGTTTAGTTTCAGAAGTCTATGGAAAAGCCCAGAAATACTGCAATGGAAGGGCAGATGGCAAGGCCCCAGGTTTCCTATTCAATTTCAACTGCTCTCTCCAAACTTACCAGGGTTCTCTTGATAGCCAAATCTAATGGTCTTTCCCATATGTTCATTCTTCTTGACCTCTCAGTAGCATTCAACACTGCGGACCACCTTCTCCTTTTAAATACTCTTCTCTCTTCTATGTTCTAAGGTTCATGCTAGCTTTATCACTTTTATAGTCTGTGTTTCTAATCCCTCAGATCCAGCCTACTTCCCCGAGGAAGATACTTCTAGCTTCTCTCTGGCCAGTGGTATGGAGGGCGGAAAAAAGGGAAACAAATGGGAATGGTAGTAGAGGTCTTGCAGGGAGGGATTCTGAAATTTTTTTCAATGGACATATTTTGGAAAGGAAGATGAGACAGATATTTAAATGTCTCACTACATAACAGAGTGATAGGTCTGGAGTCAGAAAGGCCTGAGTTCAAATTGAGCCTCAGACACTTACTAGTTGTGTGACTGGGCAAATTGCTTTACTACTGCTGGCTTGTTTCCTCATCTGTAAAATGGGGATATTTTACACCTATGTCCCAGAGTTGCTGTGAGGATAAAATGAGTTGACGTTTGTAAAGCGATCTGCAAATCTTAAAACGATGTTCCAATGCTAAAGGTAAGAAACCATGGAATTTCTGAAATACAGCAATAATAATTCATAAAACCACCTTGTATTGGAGGCTTTTACATTTCTGAGTGCCTTCTCTGAAGGTGAGTTGGCAAAGCGGTTTTGTAATACTTTATTATACTGAAGGAAAAAGATGGAGGCATTGAAGAACAGTAGAAAGACCAACAGATTTGGAGTCTCAGGGCTTGGATTGGAATCCCAGCTTTGATACTATTTTTGTAAATGCAGTAGGCAAGTAACTCTCCCTCTCTGGGCTTCCATTTCCCAGTGTGTAAAATAAGAGGGTTGAACAGGATGATTGAAATCCTATATTACAAAGCAGGTCACACTGATAGGCACAGTCACTTCCCCTGAAGGGCTGACCTGCAGTGACATGCTATGATGGGAGAAGTTTTTATGGAAGACGTCCTAGAACTGTATTCGGTTAAAACATCTTCCAGCAGGAGGAAACTAACCATCTACCCTGCAGCAGTTCATCCTTTTAACAGCAAGAATACTGTAGCAATGTTATATTTCTACAAATGACAGACCACCAAAATCTCAGAAGAACTAAAGCATCAAACAGTTCAAAGGTTAGTGGGAAAATGAAGCATGGGCCTTGAAGGGACTATACCATGTTAGAAACAGCATCTCAGGTCATTCCAAGTGCAAATTCTAAGTAAGAGGTGAGAAGGAACTTACCCAACAAATAAATGTCAGCAAACCTGAACCAAGGTGAAGCACTAATCAGTAATCTTGTCTCTAAAAGGAAAAGAGAAAAAAAAGGGCATTTACTTTGGGGTAAAAAGAGACCCCCTAGGCTACAGATGGTGTTGGATCCATTTCAAGGGTAGAAAGAGAAAAACCAAGCTGCATGCAGTTCTGAGGAATGAGAGGATCAACAATTCAATCCCAAAGGTGGCAGTGATCTGTGTAGCAAGGAGGAAGGAGTTTCCTTGGCATTTCAGTTTGACTGTCTTTAGGTGAAGAAGCTTTCAACCTTTCAAAACACTATGAAGAACATGAGAATTCTGGCTCTTAGAGTTCATTACCTACTCCAAAGTAAAGATCACAGAACAAAGTCAGGAAACAGAAGGCATTGAGATGCCATTGCCAACATCCCATCTTTATCTTTTTTTTTTTCCTGGGTGGAGGGAAGGCAATTAGGATTAAGTGATGCCCAGGGTCATACAGCTATTAAGTGTCTGAGGCCACATTTGAACTCAAGTCTTCCAGGTTCCAGGGCCAGTGCTCTATCCATTGAGCCAGCTAGCTGCCTCCCAACATCCCATTTTTAAAGCAGGGTTTGGTTTCATTGTTTTTTTTTTTTAACTTTTTGTGTGTTATGGACCCCTTTCATAGTCTGGTGAATTCTATGGACCTCTTCTCAGAATAATCTTTTTAAATTTATATGATGAAAGCCATTAGATTATAAAGGAAACCATTAAACAGAAACAGAGTTGTGAAAATACATTTTTTAAAAGCTTAAACTCCAGGTTAAGAACCCTTGCCTTAAAGCAATTACCAGACTTATCAATGATGAGCCTAATAGATTTCCTCAGACAAGGGAATATATCAGCTTGGGGGGGAAAATCATCAAAATAACCACACTTTGTATTAAAATTAGCTTCAGTGTTATCAGTTTCACTTAATATGGAAGAAACAGATGGAGAAAAATTGCATGCCTAAGGGCACAGAGCACTGGCAGATACAACTTAACTCTAGAGGCAGCTAGGAGGTACAGTAGATAAAGCCCTAGAAATCAGGAAGAGCTGAGTTCAAACTCGGGCTGAGACACTTTACGACCTTCACAATCTAGCTCCAACCTACCTTTCTAGTAGTAAGTGACTGAAAAAGGCTTGTTGATTTCTAAAGCATTATTGGAAAATGATGGATTGATGGACTATGGAAGAAGGGGAAGTACAGAGATACATACAAGTATTATACCTTCCCCCAAGAGCAGAGAAGCTGATGATGAACATCTTAATCATCTTCACCTTAAAGCCATGTGCTTTACTCGTCTAACATCAACTTTATTCTTTGTTGCTGTTCTTAGTTTTATTTCTAAAAATGAACAAAAATCTGTTTTCTCTCCCTCCCACCTTCTCTCCTCATTGAAAAAAGAAAAACAAAACCTTTGTAACAACTCTGTAATCAAGCAAAGCAAATTCTCAAATTGACCATGTCCAAAAACACATGTCTTGATCTGCACTGAGTCCATCTCTGTTGGGGGGTAGGTAGCATGTTTCATTGGGAGTGATCTGGAAATGGGGCTGATCAGAATTCTTAAGTAGTTTTGAGGTTACTGTGTAGGGTGCTCTCCTGGTTCTGCTCACTTCATTGAGTTCATGCAAATCTTTTCAACTTTCTCTGAAAACTGGGATCCCCTCCATTTCTTACAGTACAATAGTATTCCACTACATTCACATACTATAACTCATCCAGCTATTCTCCAACTAATGGGAACCCCCTTAGTTTCCAGTTCTTTGCCACTACAAGAAGATAGCATCCACTTTCATATTATCAAGTTACTGAAATTACTAGTTACTGAATTTATAAGTTACTGAAATGTACATACATTTCAGTGACACCAACAGCAAGTCAAGAAGCCCTTATTAACAGTAGCAGACAGGCAATTTCATTTCACTTTTATGTTTAACCTAATCAATTAGATTCAAAGTTCCTCTAAAGGCAGGACTATGTAAGTTAGTCTTCTTTGGAGAAGAGAGGAGATTGTCTTATTTTTTTTCCCCAATCTTCCCCACAAGCCTCTTGACACAGTATGAACTTTAAAGAAAGTTTTGCCAATGTCACCGACACTATATCTTCACAGCTGCAAGTATAAATGTTTAATACATTGACAGGACAATAATTATCATAGTTATATTATTTATATAGTTATATATTATTTTATCTAAGCTTCAAAACAATCCTAGAAGGTAAATATTATTATCTTTTATCTCTTATCCCTGTTTTACAGATGAGGAAACTGAGGTTAAGAAAAATTAATTCGCTTGCTCAGGTTGATAAGGCTAGTGCCTCAAGAGGATCTGAATCCAGGTCTTCTGACTCCAAGTCTGTCCATTATGCCATTGGAGCTTGAAGACTCATGGAACATTAGAGTTGGAAGGGACCCTAAAAGTCACCCCTCTCATTTTACATGATGAAGCAGCGAGGCTGCACAAAGGTTAAGTGACTTGACCAAGTTACCTACCAAATTAGTGGCAGAGCTGGCATTAGAAGTGACACATTGTGACTGCCCAACCCCTATCCTCCTTCCACTGTACCAAGCGGAAACTCCACTCCAAACTTAATCTCAGTTACTAATCTGATACTGAATGCATACATCATGAGTTTAGTAACCCCGTAAAAAGCACAAGAAAACAGAGATGTTTACAGGATTTGCAATTCAGTTTCTTATTTAGAAACTATCACATTTTCTATTTTTAATCGAGCAAGAAGGAAACTCTCCTGAGTCTCAGCCAGTACATCCACCTATTTGCTTATCGGTCCTGGCATTCCCATCACATTTTCCTATGGACTGCATAGGCAAACCAGAGCACCACTAACGGGACTCGTTTTTCACCTGAACTACTAGCTAAGGCACCTTAAAAATAACCAATGTAAACACTGTGGTTCTTGGAGACAGACAAGTTTAGAAACAGGTGCATAGTGCCAAAAGGGGCATGTGTTGCTCTTTTGTTAAAACAAGATGTTAAAGCCAAACCTTATCTCAGCTTCCTTGGCAAGTATGACCTCAATCTGATCACCACAGTTGTGATTCCTGCCTCAAAGCCTGCACACTCATGCATGTGGAATGCTTCCTAAGATATATGGTGAACTTAATTTCTTTTGATCTTTATGGAAATAAGGTGGGAGTGGGAGGGGAAACCACCAAGGAAGATGTTTAAGGTCTTCTCAGCTCTGAACAGTCTGAGTAGTGTTAACAAAAAAAGAAAAACCAGCAACTGACATTACATTCTATAGGTTCTACTAATATCGGTCTATAATATCAATTCTGGAAAATGTTATCAGCTTCAGACAAAAGGACTTATTGTGGTTGTTATTCTTAACACTGTTGACAATAAGGGGGAAGGGTGGTCTGAGGAAGAAGAGGACCCCCCCCCCCATATATATACACAAACCCTGCATTTTGGAAGAACTGCAAGAGAAAAAAAAAAAGAGTGATTCCTTTTCAAGAGCAAGGGTCTTCCACCATGGCTGCCTCTCTTCTCAACTGCAGGACACAACTTTTTCTCCAAGATTGCTTGTGGTTTTAAGGCCACCAGGGTCATGGACAGATCAGCTATCCAATGGCGAGCCACCTTTTTTAATTTTATCAAATTGAATGAGGAGTATTTATACCTCCTTTATGCTGGCCCAATTTCTAAAGGGATGAATTCTTTATATGGCCAGTCAATCAATAAGCATTTATTAAGTGCTTACTATATGCCAGGCACTGTGCTAAGTGCCTATCTGTCACTTCAGTTTTTCACCCTTCATAACTTAGGAATAGGTTCACTCAGTGTTTCATGCCCTTTATATTCCGTAAATATAGCCAGTGTCTGAAAGGGACAAACCTTCAGTGTTTCTGTTACCTGACTCTCACAGTACATAATCTCATCGAGGGCTGTAGGGACTCAATTCATCATAACCTCCTATGATAAAATTCTCCCAATTTATTCTTCCATTTTTTTCTCCCAATTTTACAGAGGAGGAAGCTGAGGCTTTGAAAGGTAATATGACTTGCTAGTGCCAGAATTCAAATCCAGATCTACTGACTCCAAATCTAATGCTCCTTCCATGGTACCATTCCTTATACCAATTAAAAAAAAAAAGAATGTGGATAGAGCACCGGCCCTGAAGTCAGGAGGACTTCAAATACGGCCTCAGACCAAACACTTGACACTTACTAGCTGTGTGACCCTGGGCAAGTCACTTAACCCCAATTGCCCAAAAAAAAAAAAAAGAATGTGAATTTTGAAACACACACATATGCCATACTGACCTAACAGCTTAATCAGTAAACTCTATTATCCCTGGCTTGGACTATTATAATTGCCTTTTAACTGGCCATCCTTCTTTCTGCCAGTCTCTACTCCCTCTAAACCATTCTTCACACTCCTGCCAGCTCAACCTTTTTAACACAAGCTCGATCATATCATTTCCCTTTAAAAACAACCTTCAGATACTCTACTCTGCAGCCAAATTGGCCTGTTTCCCATTCTCTCAAACATATACCCAGTGCTTTCTGGCTGTTGTGTCTTTGCTCACAAAATTCCACAAGGCTGGAATGACCCCTGTGCCTCCCCTCCCCACTCCCCCATCAGCACCTATCAGACTCATACCTGTCCTTTTAAAGGACCAGCTTAAAGGTTACCTCTTCCATGGAGTCTCTCCTGATGCCCCACTCCAAAGCAAAAGAGATTATTCCTTCACTTGAACCTGCGTAGTGCTTTGTACTTGGTTTATGGCATTTTACTGTAATACAAGCTACGATGCGTACTTTGTGTCCCTGTTCCGTATCCTGTTACAACCTATGTTCTTTGGGGGATAAGTACTGTGTTTTACTCATCCTACTATCCCAGTATCTAGTACAGTTCTTTGCTGAGAGTAGACATCTAATGAAGGTTCCTTGAATGATTACGTGTATGTGAACAATGCTCACTCAGGATCACCAATATCCAACAAATGTGTGGTATATGAGCAGATTCTAAAGTTCAAGCTGGATTCCATAGATGCTTCATGAAGACCATATTTCA